TGCGTTCGTGGCGTGTACACCGATACACGTGCGTGCGTGTGCACAGTACACTGCGTGTGGTGTGCACGTACAAGTGCGTGCGTGTGCACGGTAGCACGTGTGTGCGTGTGCACGGTACACGCTAACCACGAAATCGCTATAACGAAACAATGCCGCAAGCTATGACAAAAGAAGCGTCAAAGGTGCCGCGCGGTCTGTGTAGTATGGTAATTAATTTATTTATTTTTAGTTGGAAGTAGTAATTTTATAATGTTTTGCTCATAAATATAATGTATGCTGCGGTATGCTGGAAACACCTGCGGAAATATTCGAGTGGTTTAACGGCACCTCGTCAGCCTCGTGTAAAGTTTAGCGCAAAAGGTTTACGTTAAAATTTAGCTTGATGAATCGGCACGCTAAAACGGCCTCGCTTGCGTACGGCGAATGCGTACGCCAAATTTACCTAAACTAACTGTGTTGATGAATGCAAACTAACCAACGTCGATTGCGTAGCACAAGATTTACGCAAAATATTTTGGCGTACGCAGGCTTGATGAATCTACACCCAGGTGAGTAGGCCCTAGCGGCCGTTACGAGCAGGAGCGGTAATCATTAACGTATGCGAGCGCTGCGACCGCCAGGGGGCGTGTGACGAGCGCGAGTAAATATGAACGCAGCTGATGTGATAGTGAAATTGGGTCGGTGCTTGGTGCTTTCCTTTCCTTTGCGACCACAGAAGAGGGCGGACCCGCAGTCGACGCTCGGACACACAGTATAGTGCACAGCGCTGTCTTAGTGCCTACCACCTTCATAAACCATGTCTCTGCCACCTCCAATCCTCAAACCAGAGATCAAGTACACACAGGTACGGCGAAATTACTGATGTACACAGCGCAGGCCTGTGGCAACTGTACTACTACTAGAGCTACCATAGAGGTGTAGCCTGTAGGCAAGCGTGTCAATGTGGTGTGACTGAGAGTGAAAGAATGAAAGTTGAAGATTGTGACAGCTTGTATCGCTTGCTATAGGGCCTATATGATTATGATGTAAATTCGAGCAAGTTCGAGTATATTGTTTGTGTGTAATTTTCATACATGTATTGTGCTATAGACAAGTTGGGCTACCGGCCCCTGCCGGCTCGGGGATAGACTAGAGAAGATGTCCACCCCTGCCTATAGCTATACCTGGCAACACCTATATCGCCTGCCTACTACACTGCTGCTGTATTGTACACCGGCTGGGCGACAAATTGTAAATGCATAAATATCAGTTGTAATTTGCGTAGTTTTCAGTAGTTTGCTTTTAATAATTTCAGATTTTCATTAACAATGAGTGGGTAAACTCCGTAAGTGGAAAGACGTTTGCGACAATAAACCCTTGCACGGAAGAACCTATATGTCAGATACAGGAAGGTGACAAGGTAAGGGAACTGGGGACATTTCAAGGTAATGTCCACATCTGTCCGTTAACAAATTGTGCAATAGCATCCCTGACTTAGTCTGTTTATCTAGTCTTATATGAAGCCTTATTTCGATGTATATTTATATTATCAGGGGTTAATAATGACAAATTTGTCATTATTGACCCTTGATATTATATAGAAGGTTGGAACATTGATCACGCGTGTATATCGAGTCATGGACTGGTTTTTACACGATAGACTACATGGTAAACCGGGTAGTAACGTTTCAGGTTGCCCATCAATTTGTTATTCATTTTAATGACACAACCTACATGATCTTGCTATAGGCAGCTGAGAGAAATTCGTTTGCAAACTGTGCATTATCAACAATATTACTATATAGATGGTCTGTGTGGGGTGTGTGTGCGTGTGCGTGTGTGTGTGCATGCGTGCGTGCGTGCGTGCGTGTGTGTGCGAGTGCGTGTGTGCATGCATGCGTGGGTGCGCGCGCGCGCATTTGGGCATGTTTAGGATGACTGCTACTATATACGAGCGTGCAGCATAATAAAGCAGTAGATTATTTTGTACCAGGCATAACTAGGTCAGATGCCTGGGCACACGAGCAGGCATGCACACACTCACTATACGAGTATACTGAGTGCACTGCGTGGTTACACAGCCGGTGCTGCTGGGAATTACTGCGTGTGGACAAGGATAAGTCATGAACGTCAAGGTCATGCATGCATGCGTGTGTGTATATGGGGGCATGCAGCTTTTATGCCTTTTCTGTGAATCGCAAAGTTTAGTGCAGCGAAGAAAAAATTCCCATCAAAGAAGTTATATCCAGGCCACTTATTTTTTAACAACACATTTTGTTGGATAAAGAAGGACACATACACCACATGGAATTGCATGTGAGAAAGGCACAGGGGCAAACTAGGTAATTAAGGCACAGATGTGGGTTCATGGTACAATTTTTAGGGGAACCACTGTATGTTCTGCTGGCGAAGTTTGACCCATGTATCTATTTATATATGTGATAGATTTATGTTACTTATATGTTTGCATTAACAGGCAGATGTTGACAAGGCAGTGGCTGCCGCTAAGAAAGCCGGGGAGCTGGGATCACCATGGCGACGCATGGACGCTTCAGCACGTGGTCACTTGCTCAGCAAGTTGGCAGATCTGATAGAGAGGGACATGGTTTATCTGGCTGTGAGTTTCCTGTGCTGTATGCTGCCAGTCCATTTGCACATTTATAGCAAGGCCTCCTAGTGGCCATCCCACTTAAGCCTCCCTGCATGCTCGTGTATAAATGAGACATACGGCCTGGGAATGAGTGTCAATTATATGTGTACTGAGGTATATAGCCGTGGTTCAAATATGTTTAGTTAATTTCCATGCATAAGGGCGATGAAGGTATGTTGGGCAATCCATCACTGATTGCTAATTGCAGTCGATTACCCATGTCGTGTCGATTACCCATGTCGTGTCGATTACCCATGTCGTGTCGATTACCCATGTCGTCTCGATTACCCATGTCGTGTCGATTACCCATGTCGTGTCGATTACGCATGTCGTGTCGATTACCCATGTCGTGTCGATTACCCATGTCGTGTCGATTACCCATGTCGTGTCGATTACCCATGTCGTGTCGATTACCCATGTCGTGTCGATTACCCATGTCGTGTCGATTACGCATGTCGTGTCGATTACCCATGTTGTGTCGATTACCCATGTCGTGTCGATTACCCATGTCGTGTCGATTACCCATGTCGTGTCGATTACGCATGTCGTGTCGATTACCCATGTCGTGTCGATTACCCATGTCGTGTCGATTACCCATGTCGTGTCGACTACCCATGTCGTGTCGATTACGCATGTCGTGTAGATTACGCATGTCGTGTCGATTACGCATGTCGTGTCGATTACGCATGTCGTGTCGATTACGCATGTCGTGTATATTACCCATGTCGTGTCGATTACGCATGTCGTGTCGATTACCCATGTTGTGTCGATTATGCATGACGTAAGCGGGCCCCAAGATGCAGATAAACTATCAGTTTTGAGCCTCAATATACAGGAAGCTGTGAGAATACAGCACGACTGTGTGGATATTGTCAAATGTACAGACAGCTATAATTTAAGGCCTGCCGATTAGGCATGACAGACTTATGCCTAGGTAAAACCCTATATATATATATCAAGAGTACATAATAGAGATGTTATGTATTTATTATGCTAATTTTGTCATGTTGGTATGCACTTGAATGTTTACAGTCACTAGAAACCCTGGACAATGGAAAGCCGTACAAATATTCGTACAATGTTGATTATCCTATCGCTGTCAAAACCTGCAGACACTATGCAGGATGGCCAGATAAGATCGTGGGCAAGACCATTCCCATAGGTAAGTGCTTGTGTAGGGATGATTTCACTAATTGATTTATTCTATTCATCTAGCCATCCATCCATCCATCCATCAATCCATTCATCCATCGATATATCCATCCGTCTGTCCATCTGTTTGTCTATTTATTTACCCATCCATCCATCCATCCATCAATCCATACATCCATCAATCCACACATCCATCAATCCATCCATCCATCTATATATCCATCCAACCATCTATTCATCCATCCATGATATCCATCCATATGTTTGTTTTTTATTCACGCATCTATCCATCTGTTCGTCCGTCCGTCCATCCATCCATCCATCCTTCCATACATCTATATATCCATCCATCCATCTATTCATCCATCCATCTATATATCCATCCATCCATCCATCCATCCATCCATCCATCCATCCATCCATCCATCCATCCATCAATCCATCCATCCATCAATCCATCCATCCATCCATCCATCCACCCACCCATCCATCCACCCATCCATCCATCCATCCATCCATTCAACAATCCATCCATCCATCAATCCATCCATCCATCTATATATCCATCCATCAATCCATCTATTCATCATCCATCCATCCATCTGTTCGTCCATCTGTTTGTCCATTTATTCACCCATCTATCCATCCCTCCATCCATCCATCCATCCGTCCATCCATCCATCCATCCATCCTTCCATGCGTGTGTGTATTTCATTACAACCTCGATCTATCTGTATTACAGAGGGTGATTTCTTCTGCTTCACTCGTGTTGAGCCCGTAGGGGTCGTTGGAGCAATCACACCTGTGAGTACTGTGTATATATAGGCACACAAGGTCAAAGCTTCCCAAGCCTGTAAAAGTTTATGGATATGGTTATCCCGGTCATGTTGATAGACTGATCATTGGTTCATGTTACAATTTACATTACACGTGCTGCAGATGCGATTGCTGTAAGAAATCTATTTCACCATGTCAGCAAACCGCTGTTAAACTTAGTATGTCAAGTTGTCAACGATTGCACGTCGTAGGTGGCGCCAGCGTACTGCTACAATACTAAGATGTGTTCTGTTCGTTCCAAAATCTGCATGCCGTTCTATTTTATCTCCCCTGAAAAATAATTATGGAAAATTTACAAGAGGGGCGAATTACGTACAATGTTTCACTGTTGTAGTGTGTGTTAGTCATGCCAGATGTCGCTATAGTGTCTACTTGTCTGTACTTGCAGTGGAACTTCCCTGGCATGATCGCTTGCCAGAAGATCCTCCCTGCTCTCGCCGCCGGATGCACACTTGTTTTGAAGCCAGCCGAGCAGACGCCTCTCACCACGCTTTACATTGCCGCGCTGTGCAAGGAGGTATGAACCCGTGCATGCTCGCTTGTTTCCGCGCACATGTTGCCAGTTTGATGATCGGACGTGATGTGTTATTACCTATCTATTCGACAATCACATCTATTCAACAATCACGCATCTATTCAACAATCGTGCATCTATTCGACAATCGTGCATCTATTCAATAATCACACATCTATTCAACAATCATGTATCTATTCAACAATCGTGCATCTATTCAACAATCGTGCATCTATTCAACAATCACATATCTATTAGACTATCAGGCATCTATTCGACAATCGTGCATCTATTCAACAATCACGTATCTATTGAACAATCACGTATCTCTTCAACAATCACGTATCTCTTCAACAATCACGTATCTATTCAACAATCACATATCTATTAGACTATCACGCATCTATTCGACAATCGTGCATCTATTCAACAATCGCGTATCTATTCAACAATCGTGCATCTATTCAACAATCACGCATCTATTAGAAAATCGCGCATCTATTCGACAATCGTGCATCTATTCAACAATCACGTATCTATTCAACAATCACATTCAACATTCATCACATTCATCACATTTCACACATTCATTCACATTCACATTCACACACACACACACACATTCACACACACACACATGCACATTCATTCACATTTCACACATTCACACATTCACACATTTCACATTCATCAATTTCACATTCATCACATTCAATCATATTCAACATTCAACAATCATGCATCTATTCATCAATCACGCATCTATTCGACAATCGTGCATCTTTTCAACAATCATGTATCTGTTCAACAATCATGTATCTATTCAACAATCACACATCTATTCAACAATCACGCATCTATTCGACAATCGTGAATCTATTCAACAATCACACATCTATTCAACAATCACGCATCTATTCAACAATTACGTATCTATCCAACAATCACACATCTATTCGACAATGATTCGACGATCAGGCATTTATTTATGGCGTAGCGATGGTAGGACGGGGTTCTCTCGCACGTGTGCGGGTGCTGGATTGTTATATTGTCTGTCACCACCACCACCACCGTGTATATTGCAGGTGGGCATCCCTGCGGGCGTGGTCAATGTGGTGCCGGGGTACGGACCGACCGCTGGTGCCGCCCTCACCGAACACATGGACGTCAACAAGATCTCATTCACGGGCTCAACTGAGGTGAGTTTATTAGAGGTGTAGGGATCGTCCAAGGTGAGTTCACAGGCTCGATTAAAGTGAGTTCCCGGGAGTCGACCGAGGTGAGTTCACAAGAGGGGGGTTTGACGGAGGTGAATTCTTGAAGGTCGACCCAGGTGAGTTCATAAGATGGGTAGCGGTTGACCAAGGTGAGTCCAAGGCAAGAAATCAAAAGCGATGATGAGAAAGACGATGACAAAAATGGTGACCTCCTGTGTGTCTGTTTGCAGGTGGGGCACCTGATCCAGTGCGCCTCGGGAAAGACGAACCTGAAGAGAGTTTCGCTGGAGCTGGGAGGCAAGAGTCCAAACGTCGTGTTTGCTGACGCCGACCGTGAGTGTTAGCTAGACCTCGAAACCCAAGACCTAAACACTAAAGATGAAATTTTAAACCTTTCACATCTCGAAACCTAAAATCTAAAAACCGTTAAATTTAAGACTTGAGTATCGAATCACAAAGGGTGGTCTGCCATGCCTAGTGGAGTAATACCATTGTTATCAACATCTTTATTGTTGTAGTCTGATGCTCTCCAGTCTTCCCACATGGCTCTCACGATCCAACACTGGCAACAACACAATGCACGGATGCATGCACACACACAAACACTCATACACTCCTATCGCATCAGGGATTTTGCAGCAATGGTTAATACTTGCATGTTCACTGTCAGAAACACAAATATGTATGATATCAGTCAAGTTTACAATGTCATAACTTTTGGAGTTAAGTGTCATGCAATAGCAGTCAAGTTTTAAGTTAACGATGTCAAAATTATTAACATTATCATAAATCAGTAGTAAGGTTGTTAGCTCATATGACAAAGTCAGATGCAGCTTGTAGAATCGCATGTAGCTTGTAGAATCTCTCGTTCTTCAACACGGATCAGGTTCCGTTTATCATAAATCAGTAGTAAGGTTGTTGTCACTGCTGGTCTCTTGTTCTTCAACATGGATCAGTGCTGCACGGCGGCGCTCCCTCGTGTATGTGTAATTGGTGCCTGATCGTCTGATCATCGTTGTGAATCGTTGCAGTCGATGAGGCGGTGCTGGTGTCACACAACAACCTGTTCTTCAACATGGGTCAGTGCTGCACGGCTGCCTCACGCACATACGTGCAGGACAGCATATACGACGAGTTTGTACGGCGCAGCGTCGATCTCGCGAAGAAACGCTCCATAGGCGACCCCTGGTGCGACAACGTCGAAAACGGTCCACAGGTAGGGGGCACTGCGATTACGGGATATTGCAATCACAGGTGGAGCACCTGGGAGCGCTATGATCACAGTGATAATCATGTAAATTTTATATGGTTCTACTCCATTTCATTTATTTTTTACCATTAACCGCAGACGAAAGAAGAGAATTAATGAATACTGGAAACAGAAAAAAACTAAAATGTACTGGGTCCTTAGAAGAGGAAACGTGGCATAAAAGCAGGGGCCAGCCGCTTATGATCGAGTGTGTATACATGTATGATACTGATGTTGTATGTAAGAATGTATATGTTCCTCTCCTTTGTTTAGATCGACAGAGATCAGTTCGATAAGGTGCTGGAACTGATCGAGAGCGGCAAGAAGCAGGGAGCAAAGATGGAGTGTGGAGGCGGTCGCCACGGTACCAAGGGCTACTTCATCCAGAACACTGTCTTCTCCAATGTCACCGACGACATGAGGATTTCGAAGGAGGAGGTGCGTGAGCGGTGACGGGACGTGTGGGTCTACATACAGGTTTCACTGTATAACGGCTAAACTGCTATTAATTGAATGAGAACGCTCCAAAACGCAACATAATTTTGTTGCTCTATAATTTTGTTGTTTGTTTACGTCTCGTAAAAACACGAATGGCGCGGCGTTGCATCGCTTGCTAACGTGGCGCCAATTGGTGCTTGCAGATCTTCGGACCCGTGCAGCAGATCATCAAGTTCAAGTCGATCGACGAGGTGATCAAACGAGCGAACAATACGACGTACGGGCTCGCCGGAGCGGTGTTCACGAAGGACATCGACAAGGCATTGACCCTCGCCCAGAGCGTGCAGAGCGGAACATTCTGGTAGGTTCCGTCATTGTTAGGTTTCTGTTGTTCTCACGCTGCTGTTAGTTCATATTCTGCCATCGTTGTTCAAACCGTGATGTTCCGACTGGTGCTGTGATCCTAGAACTTGCATTGTTCATGTGTTGTGGTGTTTGTATTCTTCTTGGGTTGTTCTTACCATGATATGGAATGTTACCCCGAATGGCTGCTATTCAGCAGTTTTTTAAAATTCTATCGAGAGTTGCACCAAATACTCCAAATTGATATGGTAACAGCTGCACATTTGAACTGGTTTTGGCATGTCCTTGTACATTTATAGCGGCCATGTTTGAAATGTCGATAGTTGAAGGCGAATTTCATTCAGTTGTTGCAAGTCTCACAATGTGTGCACACGTTTGCTTATAATTCTATTCGCCATTTTGCAACCTTTATGTTCATTGACACCAGACCGGTTCTGGGAACACGTACATAATTGTAGTACTTATACTTATTACTAGTTAACGTGTGTTCTTGTAGGGTGAACTGCTACAACGTTGGTGGTCCTTCAACACCATTCGGTGGATTCAAGATGTCCGGGATTGGTCGTGAAGGGTACGACGCATATACTCAGCGATTTTGAATAACAACAACATAATAATCTAGGGAATAAATTTTTTGGCTTTATTGAATCTTCCAGAATCATTCATTTATGTAGATGGGAGGTTTTTCTCTGATGGGCATATAGTACGTAAATTGGAAAATCTGCAACACTAGAGCATCCTTGCAAATTCCATGTGACGATTCGCACACCCTTAATCCCATTTGATTTTCATTACAGAGGCGAGTACGGACTTCACGAGTTCTGTGAGATCAAGACCGTAAGTTACATGCTGAGCTTGACCTTTTCCATCCTTCAAACCTCCAAATCTCTCACACACAATTAATGTGCCACTGTGATTTTTAAAAAGAAATTTGATAATTTTTTTCTCATTTCTCGTTGTATAACGTGTTGCAATTATAAACTGGCCATCAAACAAGATTAAATAACATGCATAATAAGTACTAAGTAGAATAATAATAGATGATAATAATTAATATAATAAAGGTTCTTTGAGGAGTAAGGTAATCATGGCTTATTACCCCTCATCATCTTGCTATTGATTCCATGAAGCCTAATTGCATGTTATCAAACCACACATTATGCAATTTGTGCATTCGTACAAATGCGTGGTAAACTTTACGTCTGCATTGTTTTGTTCAACTTCATTTTGATTTCTTTGGGACATTTGCTATCGGCTGATGGTTTGCCGAAGACGAGTCACCACACCTCTCTTGATGCCATTCCTTCTTGTCGATTGCTTGCAGGTTGTCATCAAGATTCCACAGAAGAACTCGTAGACGGCAGACGACGTGCATCAGGTGCACGAACAAACCAGACGGCAGACGGTCACGACCCCGGAAAACAAGTTACACACACGTGCTAGTCTCCAAATCAAAACAATCCTGAAGGCTTCCTATTCGCGCGGAATGTTCGACGTGGAATAGAATAGATGATGGGTTAACTCTCTAGCTATACCTTCTCTCTAGAGGATCAACTCACTTTTGCTTCTATCTGGTTCCTAATCTTTGTTTGTTATGCGGTTCTGCGTGCAAGTGGTAACAGGTATTTAGATAACCGAGATAGTATATTTAGATGTACTGTACGTGTGTTATAATCCAGAGTGAATAGTATCAGAAGTAGTGAGTAGAAGAATAGTAAATATCATGACTTTGTCGACATCGCAGCATTGGTACATTTTTTGTACATTGCTGATATTATATAATTAATTAATAGCCGGACCTAGGAATTGGTACAGGCTAAAAAATGTATTGATTCGGGTACTTTTACATTCTGATTATATGGGTGATGGGAGTGTCATGGCCAGATTAAACAAGTTACAACTACATCAAATAGTATATACTTGCACTAATGTTTTTCTTGTTTTATTATTGATATAGTAGCAAGAGAAAATTACATACTTAGTTAATATATATCATAGCGTCATTTTGACAGTTGCACTGAGCTCTATATGGGTTCTCAGTGTCAGCATTCTGTCGCAACTAAAAAAATAATTTCGATATCTGGCTAATGGCTGCAATTGCAATATAAGCCAACTCTTGTTCAGTTAATCATGCAAACCTGCCTCTTTAGAAAAATGGTCTGATTCTGGTTACATTATAAACGTACGTGTATACATGGATTCACGATTACATACATTCAGTCGCCACGCAAGTTAATTCGTGTTGCATTTATTCGCAAAAATCAACTTGCTACTTCGCGCAGCTGGAACCTACATGCTTACAAGCAGCCGGGAGGGAGGTAGGGGGGCGATTCGGGTTTCACGTCTACACCATGCACCCAAGTAGAAAATATGATTATATCTGAAGACCGATGGAGTAAGATGATCACCCCAGTATCTCGCATATTTACAATGACATCGGTTGGAGCTACTCAATTCTTTTCATTACAATGACAATTTAGGTCGAATCAAGTGTCCTCTATTCGCCCTTGTAGACCGGAGGCCGCTTTTCCTTGAAGGCACTCAACCCCTCGACCCGGTCCTTGGTCGGAATAACCTTGAAATAAACGTGGAGCAAAAAATCACATTTCAATAGCAAACACAAAATGACTAGAAATAAATCATTACTAGAACATGCATGGATTTGTAGTCAAATATTCTTTTACAGAGATAGATTTCTCTACCAGCTAGTGGACTTTTATCAAATTCGAATTCATCTCGCCATCTAGTGGGAGAAATAATTTACAAATGTAAGCAGCCTGTAACAGCACACTGTAATATCAGTGCAGCATGTGACAGTGAAATATACATCTTTTCAAAAACAAAAGGCTGCATATGCCACGCAGGGTGGTATAGTCAATAACTTAAAACTGCTATATCTTGTAATCTCATAATCGTAACTCTTCAGAGTTATAGCACTATAACCGACTATAATGAAGACTGAGTTTGACAGTGTGAAGGAGGAGAAACGCGCACTACACGACGCTAGCAACTACGAGGCAACTAGTGTTTTTCGTACCTGTGCGTAACATGCCTGCTCGATCGCCAGTCCGGTTGAAAGGTCAACCTGAAAGAGAAAGAACCAGCATTTAGAGAGGATCCAAAGATCCATCTCAGAAAATCACACGTGTTAGATTCACCAAGTGTTTCCATTATTTCGTCATCTCGAATCGTGGTTTTTACCTTGGTTTATTATATTACTCACTGCGTGATGGTGCTGCCTATGCGATGGCTAACTGTATAAGAGCAAAGACGTTTGTTATTACTAACCTCTAGTCCTTTGTCAATTGCTAGTTTTGCCATCCTCACTGCGACTGGTCCCTGCATGAAAAAAGGAAAAAATATCACTGCTAAAGCAAAAATTCTAAGCGATATATAAACACAGACGCACATATGCACACGCACACACACGCACGCACGCACGCACACACGTACACACACACTTACTCACGCACACACTCACGCACACACTCACACACGCGCACGCACGCACACACGCACTCACTCACGCACACACTCACACACGCGCACGCACGCACGCACGCACGCACGCACGCACGCACGCACGCACACACACNGGAAGAAGAGAGAGAGAGAGAGAGAGAGAGAGAGAGAGAGAGAGAGGAAGAAAGAAAGAGCGCATGGGCGTGTGCGTGAGAGAGAGAGGGTGCATGTGTGTGCAATAGAGAGACTGATAGACTACATAACCGAGCCTGCCGTAACACGTGAGCGAGTCGTAGAGTGGGAGGAGGGAGGGGAGTAGAGAGTAGTAGGGAATAGAAGGACTGGTAGACTACATTCCCACCGCCGCTCTATCCCGTACCTGCGGCAGGATCTCGCAGGCAAGCTGCACGGCGCGCCTGTAGGCGGCGTCACCGTCGCGATTCTGTTCGACTACATCGTTGACGAGGCCGACGCTGTGTGCCTGTACGCCGTCCAGCACACGACCCGTGAAGATCAGCTCCTTGGCCTTCGCCTTGCCGATCAGCCGCGGCAGGTTCTGCGTCCCTCCTACAAATACATTTGATATTTGTGTGTATATTTATATATGTGCGTGTGCGTATGTTTATATACGTCTGCAGGTTCTGTACGTGTCCTTCCCACATCATGCACCGATTATATACATATTTGTGTGTGTGTATATATATATATACATATATATATACATATATATACATATTTAATTGTATGTGTGTATCTATATATATATATATATATATATAGCGCACTCTATGNATATATATATATATACTATATATATATATATTAATTAGTTATAGTGTGTATCTATATATATATATATATATATATAGCGCACTCTATGCACACTCATGCACACGCGCACGCATGCACACACACACACACACACACGTGTGTGTGCGTGCGTGCGTGCGTGCGTGCGTGCGTGTGTGTGCATGCGTGCGCGTGTGCATAAGTGTATCCCTCCATCCGTGGGTGCATGCCTGTATGCGTGTGTGTGCAAGGATGATTTCAGATATGCAATTGTTAACCATTATCGAATGCTGAACCGATATAGTCATATTGATGTCATCGATTGAAATACAATGTTTGATAGATATGCAAATTATGAAACCGCAGTCTAATCTCCTCTTGCTAACGATTAAAATCAATTATATTCTACTGTTTTCCAATGCCTGCTACACAAGAAAATGCACATTCGATATAACCAGGGTTTGTATGCCTAAAGCAAAACATTTTCACCAGGAGTTTTTCAGGGGCTTTTTAGGATTTTATGCTTATATTTCATAACCACGAGATTAAACAAGTGCCGCGGAGCGACAGTGCTCATCTAACACGTCTAACTAGGCGGTGACTCTGTGGTGGAAGCTTGGTGGATCTAGTAAGACCCTGTTAGTCCCGAAAATGTTTCATCCGAGAATGAACCGAAGAAAAGAGCAACGCCGAAACAGTGAAAGGCACAGGGGATGGTATCAGGAACCTTCTCAAGAGGAATGTTCGTTGGGATCGTATGGAAAGTTTGCCCACGAGATGGCGCCGTACGTTTAAGTGTCATTCAAGATTTAAAGATGGAAGGCTTAATCCATCGTAACGTAGTAAGCAAACAACATATTTTCAAAGACAGAATAGGTAGCACATGAGCCCATACCATTTACCTAACGCAAGGCCTACATGCTGAAATAGAGAGCTGCCACCTGTAACTAAATTAATGCAGCAAACTCAAAGCAGTACCCACACACCACATCCTGGCAGTGGCATAGCGTTAGCATTTAAGGACCATAAACCTTCTTCAACCAAATTAACATTTGAAAATTCATCACTTGTGACAATTGTAGCCTGAACATCCAGGCATGTATAATTCTACTAGCAAACCCATGAACAGTCAATTCTTTACTAACAGTAAACAAATCCATGTTTAACCCACCTCTTGAGGGTCCAAAAAGATTTATCCGACACGTGTGAACGACTTACTCTTCCCTATGTCAAGCAGAAAGTACAGTTTCATGGTACCTGTTCAATAAAGCCATAAAAAATGCTTATTCTGCTTATTATTAAAGAACTTAAAATTCATGCAACCGGCTAGAATACAAAAAAGTTTTCAAATCACCCGTCAGAACCATGTACCTCAGAAATGTCTAAAATCTGCACTGTGCCACAATTGACCTTTGAGACCTGTGACCCTCCAGTTTTAAGCAAGCAGTGATAGGCTTTTCCTATCATGATTGCTATAACACCGAACGACTATTCACGAGCACTAAGGTCGAAGCCATTTAGATTTGTGGCCGCAATTCTGCATTTCCTCCCTATACCATTAAGTTAAGGAAGGAATGATTCACAACGTTTATATATTATTTACACCTCTTGACCTTTGACCACCCAGCTCGACAATCCCAACCACATCCGTTTTAGATACCGACCCCCCCCCACGTCCGGCGAAATATCGGCGACCATGTACGTCGAGGCGGAGTTAAAGATTTGTGCCCGAACATCGTTGAACGCACGCGACGCGACGGAGCGGCAGACGGACAGACGACGTATCCGGACGATCATGCAGCGATTCTACATAGCTGCATCTAGACTTAATGTAATGAGCTAAAAAGACGCCGAATATCTTTTTCTCTTTGCAGATTTCGCTGCTAAACTTATCTGACTACAGCTCTGGACATCGGTAAGGTCAAGGTCGCGTGTTCGGATCAAGACTAGCAGTCTAGCATGACCTCCACCAAGGAATTAATTGCCAAATTTTCGTCTCCACCACAGGCCCATCTTGGTCCGTGTCCGCTGCAACAGTGGTCAGCACAACACTAATTACGAAACGACCATGATAACGAACTGCCCAGAGTGCAAGCAGCAATGCCTTGTGAACACGTGGCATTTTTCACGTGTGCCTGGACGATGCAGCACTAAACCACAAATAGGATTTCAAGAATATTATTAGCGCTGAACAAGTTATTCAAAGGTTTATAAATTTAAGTGAATATACTATATAGTTATATAGTATATATAGTAATAATATTATATATATATATATACTATACAATATATATATATAATCACAAGCATAAATATTCTGTCAATTAAATTCGATGTGTACGTTACTTTTATTAACATTAATAAATTTTAAAATGCCTGCAGTACCAGCAATGCGCATGTCGCACCCGTCCAATGCCATCTCAAGGCCACCGCCGACCGCAGTGCCATCTAGTGCTGCAATCGTCGGCATCGGTAGGTTCTGTATCTCTGCGACCATGGCGCGCAGCTTGCTGACAAACGGGCCGACGTCCTCCACACTCATCGTAGCTCTCTCTTTCAAATCGGCACCTAGAGGGCAGGAAAAAAATTACCTTTTTTTTCCCACGGAAGCATTTTTTCAAGTCTGTTGGAAATAATAGCCTCTCGTTCAATCCAATTTTTCGG